TATACGTATATATATATATATATATATATATATATATATATATATATATATACCACATTTTCTTTATCCATTCACCTGTTGATGGACATCTAGGTTCTTTCCATAGTTTGGTTATTTATTCAACAAAATCTTTTATAAGGCTTACTAGGTGCCAAGCACTATTCTCTGCACTTTACAAATACTGATATATGTAATTACCATAATTATCACATGGAGGAGATAATTGATTATGATAAATGATCCCAATTTACTGAAGAGGATTTTAAGGCATTGAGAGGTAAGATACTTCCAGTGTCAAAAAATTAGAAAGATGTTGAGCTAAGATGTGAAAGGAATGGTCCTTATCTGGTGCTAATGTTGCCTTTGTATTTTAAGGATTATAGCATAAATATGTATTTCTTCCAGGAACTTCTTGTCAATTAGTTTTCAGTGTATAGGTCTTTCACTTCTTTGGCTAAATTAATCCTGAGGTATTTTATTCTTTTGGATGCTGTTATAAGTGGGGTTGTTTATTCAATATCCATTTGGGAATTTTCATTGCCAGTATATGGAAATACAGTTGATTTTGTATATTGATCTATCTTGCAATCTCCCTGAACTCCTTCATTAGTTCTAATAGACTTTTAGTGGATTTTGTTGTATTTTCTATATATACAATCATGTCATGGGCAAATAGAGACACTTTTACTTTTTCCTTTCTCATACAGATGTGTTTTAGTTCTTTTTCTTGCCTAATTTCCCTGGCTAGCAATTCTAGTACAATGTTGAATAGAAGGGCTCATAGTAAGCACCCTTGTCTTGTTCTTCACATGGAAGGAAGGTATCTAGTCTTTTACCATAAAGTATGCTGTTGGCTGTGGGTTTTTCATACATGCTTGTTATCCCATTGGGGTATCCCATTCCTACTATTCTGAGTTTGCTGAGTGTTTTTTATTATGGAAGTGTTTTGCTATTGTCAAGTGATTTTTCTGCAACTATTGACATGATCATGTGATTTCTGTGTTTTTTTTTTTTTTTGCTTTCTTGTTTATTTTATAACATTTTACTAGAATGATAAATGACAATAGATTTAAAAGAATGAAGCTTTTGGCAGACTATAGGACATTCACCTAAGAATACATTACTTTGGAACTTTTGTTACTTTCTTAATATATTTTTTTATCATGTTCAATTAGCCAGCATAGAATACATCATTAGTTTTTGATACAGTGTTCAGTGATTCATTAGCTGTACATAACACCCAGTGCTCCTCACCACATGTGCCCTCCTTAATACCATCCCCCAATAACTGCATCCCCCATACCCCTCCCTTCTATAACCCTCAGTCTGGTTTCTGGAATCCAGAGTCTCCCCCATTTGTCTCCCTCTCTAATTTCTTCCCATTCAGTTTTCCATCCCTTCCCCTGTGGTCCTCCGCACTATTCTCACTTGCTTTTTAATATGGAACATTATATAAGTTGATTTTCAGATATGACTGCAAAGTTGCATACCTGGGATAAATCCTCATTTGATCACAGTGTATAATTCTTTTGACACATTGATGGATTTGGCTTGTATTTTCTTGGGGATTTTTATATTCACATTTATAGGAAATGTTGACTTGTAGTTTTTTTTTTGGTGCTATCTTTGGGTTTGGTATCGGGGTCATCTAGGCTTCATGGAATGAGTTAGGAAGTGTTCTTCCCTCTTCTATTTTTTGGAAGCATTTGTGAAGAATTTTATTTTTTCTGGTGTATGGGTCACGTTTTCCTGTTTCTTTGTCATAATTTTTTTGTTGTTGAAAACTGGACATTTTAGCTAATGGATTTTATTGTCTGTGCTGGGTCCAGAGCATGTTATTGGTATTTGTTTATTCAGGGAGCGGCTGGGTAACTTTGGTGAAGTCTATTCCTCTGCCTGCACTGTGAAACCTCTGCTGTTGTTCCTCAGGGTAAGGTATAGCCTTGTGGGGGCCCAAAGTTGTCCTCACACTACACTGGTGTTGGCAGGGCTCATTCTCATGGTTTCTTTCCCTGGCCACACCCAGCTGTAGAGCTCCACTAATTTCTGACTGATTGCTTTATTGTATTTCAACAAGGTCTGGGCACCTAAATTTCTCTAAAAATGAATCCAATCTTATTTCAGTTCCTCGAAGGTGTAGTTCCCTGAGGTGCGGGTTTGAGATTTGTCCTGACCCCAGGCAGGCGTCTTTTGCTTGTCTTTCCCCTGTTTGATTCTCTCCCCACACAGAACCAGAGCTCCGGAGCTGGGAGTGGAGACAGTGGTGTGCTTCTCTCTTAGACCTCTACTTCAAGAGCTTCGTACTCAGTGGAACTGGGAGATGAGCAGTAGCCTCACACCATCTCATCTTGTGCCTCTTTGTGTGGAACCATTGTGTCTTACGACCCACAGCAAAGTCAGTCAGGGCCCCAGTATTCTCAAGATAGAGCCTCTATTTTCATCAGCGGGAGCTGGGCACAAGAAGGGAGCTGTCATATTTGGCCACACTCACCTGAAACTTTGCCTCAGCAACAGGTAGTTGGTGACAGGATGAAAAATGCTGACATCCTGCCCCTCCTAGGAAGATAATCTCTTACTGGGAGCTGGGAAGAAAGAACCCGTTCTTGGCTGTACCAGTCTGGAGTAGACTTTCTGTCACACTGGATTGGAGGGGATGGTGGGGAGCAGATCTCTGTTCCAATACTGCAGATATTCTCTGTTATTACCAACTTATAGTACAGTTTCTTAAATTATTATCATTATTTTTGCCATATACCCTTAGGAGTACTTTCAGAGACTTTGTATATTTTATTATAATTTTTATCAGTTTTGCTGGGCAGAGATTCACTGTCCTGCTAGAAACCCCTCCTCACAATAAAATGTTAATAAGCATATTTTTAAAGGCTGCATGATATTCCATTTTATCAATATAATCATAATAATTCATGTACCACTAATCTTAAAATATTTATTTTTCCCAATTAGCCAATACCCTATGTGAATACTTTTGTGCTTACAGTTTTTCCCACATTTCATAGGTGTTTTTAGTTGTGGTATTACTGGGTCAAAGAATATAAGCTGTTTTGTTTGTTTTATGCACCCTGTCAAAATACTTTATAGAGATGTCTTATAACCACCCCCCAAAATAAATATTCCTTTCAGTATTCTGTCACAAATTTGTTAAGTTAGTAATTCATTGTTGGAATGTTCATTGTTATTTCAAATGAGGCAGTATAATTTTATATATTTATTTGAAAAAACTTTTTAATATAGGTTTGGGGAATTCTCTTACTATTTTGTGTTTTTCAGAAATTGAGAATATTAACTTTTCATCTGTTCACTCATTTTGTTATTTATCTTTTGTTTTCATTTGCAGTATTTTATGTACAGAATTCTCTATTTTATATGTAATGAAATTTTTCAATCTTTTTTCTCTGTTTTTTATTCTTTTTCCTTATTTGTGTAAACCCAGAAGTTTTTGGTACTCCTTTAAAATAAATGTTTTAGGGACGCCTGGGTGGCTCAGTTGGTTGGGCGACTGCCTTCGGCTCGGGTCATGATCCCGGCGTCCTGGGATTGAGTCCCGCATTGGGCTCCTTGCTCAGCCTCTGCCTCTGCCTGCCACTCTGTCTGCCTGTGCTCACTCTCTCTGACAAATAAATAAAAATCTTAAAAAATAAAATAAAATAAAAATAAATGTTTTATAATGAATTCTAGGTGTTCTTTTTAGACAATAAATTCATTAATGTGCTTGGAATTTACTTGATTAAAATTTGGAAATTTAATTTCTGTTTATCTTCCTGATAGCTAACCTGTTGTCTTATTATATATTATTTGGATGCATTCCCAATATTAATCTACCTGTGAGCTCTTAGGATAAACTAAATAGTCATTGATACTGGCTTTTCAGTATTTGCTTAGGTTTCATTTGTTTGAACTTTATTCAGAGATTCACATCTATTTTAACTACGGATTTGGTGGCATGTTTTTAAAATTAATTTTTAGTCTCATCTGTTATCTTTATAAAATAAATCAGGTAAACGTACTGATTAAATTTTGTGTGCTATAGAAAAGAGAACACAGGAGGATTATCTTTTTCTTAAAATAGTCTATAACATCATCTGGCTGTAATGTGATTTTTATAAGTAATTCTTAGAAAATGTTTTTCTTTTTCTTCATAACCACTAATCTATTCAGATTTTCTGTTTTTCTCTTGAGTTGTTCTTGTGAGGAATACGTTCCTAATGAAAATTTCATTTTATCAATTCAGTAACTTTCACACTTTAGCTGCTTTAAATCACCTTGATCTGTGAGATTAG